AACTGTAGACTACTGTAAAATCATTTATTTTCACTGACATTCAATTTCACTATTTTAATGTTTTTAACATTTTTACTGTGTTTTAATTTCACGAATTTGTCAAGGAAACAATGAGTTTTATTGTAACGTGTTCACGTAGATTTAATTTAGCAGATTTCACTTTTCAGCGAAAATAGCGAAATTAAAGCCCAGTGAATAATTGATACATTTACAGTATAAGAGAGGAACAATCAATATTGTAGATTTATTGTTTTTCAGAACCTTTATAAGGTGTTATCAAATACTTCCCACATACTACAGTAGTAGAAGACTTGTTCACGTGTTAAAACTATTTAAAGCTGTTCAAGTGAACAGTTAAGCATACGTGTCTGGTACCACATACACAGCTATGAAGAGATTACATAGTTTTTTGGGACAATCCTTTAACTTCATTGTCCTGGATGGCGTTCAATCACAGAATGAAATCTTGTCCATGTATAATAACCCACCTGTCTCTCCATTGAACCGTACAATCTCACTGTCCGGCACTTCATCATCACTTGAAAATCCTTCACAATGTGCATTATTTGTACCAATCGACTGTCTATATCTACGCCTTCTTGCCCTATGTTTAAAAACATATATTATCTTAAAAGAGAATTTAATACTGCACAGGTGTGAAGTGGGTACTCATGGTAAACATTTCAAGCAATCATATTGTATCACTTTAAACTGGTATTGTCAGCAACATTTTTTGCTGAAAATTCATCAAATTTCAAGAGCTAGTCAATTTCATTCAATAAATAAATAAATACAATAAACACTTGTCTCTGCTATTTTAAAATCCTGCTTTTGATGCGTGCTAAATTCAACTAACGGTATCCTGGGAAGTGCGCAATGCTTTGTGCTAAGTGTGATTCAAATTAAAAGAAGTATCCTTTAAAGAAACAACCTGAAAGTTTGATAGGCATAGCATTTGTTTAAGGGATTTAAATGTGCAATGATACCCCCCCCCCCCCCTAAGGGACAGTGATAACTGAAACATCTCTTCATTTAGTGGGAAGTCAAAAATGATTTCAATTACTGTTGTTATTAAAGGTTTGTTTAAAAATTTTTTTACATTCTTTCATTCAGAGAGGGGGGTTGGATTTTGAAGCGAGCAGCCTGTCGGCTGAGATAGCTCCGCTGTTAGCAATGCACATTACAATTAAAGAACATAAGATATCATTAGAAAATGAACAATATGTATAGTATCAAAGCAATAGGACTTGCTGTTTTCAACAAGAAGTCAAAAATATCACTTTTCACTAAAAATGACAAAAATAATCATAACAATTAGATAATTGAAGATATCACCACGAAATTAACAAATCTGAAAGAGGTCCACATGTAGTACCTATATATGTAATATAAAAGCAATCGGACTTACAGTTTTCAACAAGAAGTCGAAAATATTACTTATTACTAAACATAACAAAAATATTCACTAAAATTAGAGAATTAAAGATATCATCACGAAATGAACAAATCTGAGAAAGGTCCACATGTAGTACCTATATATGTAATATCAAAGTAGACAGCGGAGCTAAAAATGGACTACCTGGTATGCTATTTCCCATACATTTTGATACCAAGAACAACCCCTAGGATTCATATCATCAAATACAAAACAAACATCTTTTAAGTATTTCGCTTTTCAGCAAAAACTATTCAGAGTACACTCAAGTCAGGTCATCAATATATTCTTACAATGCAATTCCAGGAAATTGGATTAAAATAGCATGAAAGATCACCTTCTGGCTTCTCGTTCTGCCTGCCTTCGTTGCTTGGCATTACTTTCATATGTAGACCGATCCCTTCCATGTGCATCCAAGTTTGGTGCCACGGCAGCTTTGGTTCCTTTCATCTTGAAATCTTCAGATTGATCCTTGATATCATCTTGTCTCCTTTGTATCAACTTGCTAGATCTTTGCTTCCACAAATTGTGCATCTGTGTCTCCAGTGAGTTTATCTGTGGCACCTATAGAGCAGAACAAAACAGGCCAAATGAACAGATTGAGCAAATCACTCTGGAATACAATATGCGTCTCAGATCCAATTACTGTAAAATACTTTATTTTAGCTGGAGTTAATTTTCGTTGAATAAATTTTTGGGGTGTTTTGTATGGAATTTATTTTCAACGAAAATAGCAAAAATTAATTCCAAGCGAATTCACAGTAATACATATGCGTAGAATTTAATTTTGCCATTTTCAGGAAGGATCAAAAGAAATAAAATTCAGCAAAAATTTTTGTTCTTCTATTGTTTACATGGACTTTATGACAAATCAGACAGAAAAAAATTGCATGTGTCAACTGGTCGACCCAATTTTACCCCAGCTGCTTTTGCCCGTTTTTCTCCTCTTTGCTACAAGAAAATCTATTTTCAATATTATACATTTTTGAGCATATTCAAATAATTTGTTCTGATAATGAATCTTCATAAAAACATTACAATATGATTTACGGTGAAATAAAAACAAAAATAGTATTCACTCGATGAAAGTTTTTAATTACCAATATGCGTAAATCCGTAATGTATTTTTCATTAATTTATTTTAAAAATTCTTCCACGTTTGCTTCCTAAACAACATTTTCATGTTTCCATCAATCATATTATAAGGGTTCCTCTCCAGATACAAATTATTTAAACATATTTTCAAAAACACTCAGTTATTCACATTTGTTGTCCAAACTGCCTTCTGAAATATTCTACCGTATATATAATTTGGCTTGGGTAAAAATAAGTTCTTTTACAAACTATTACATTTGTATCCTTTGAGACTATAAATGTTAACTGGCTATGAAATTTACTAAAAATGCACACAAAAAATCTGATCTTTTTATTCATACAACGTCAAATTTTCAAATGAGACACATACTGATTCAGACTGAACAAAGACACTGAGTCAACTAAACAAATGTCTTTGCATTCCCCATTATTATATAGGCCTGTATATACATGTACATTAACTCTAGATGCCAAGAGAAGACCCAAGTGGACAAAAACTTGACTTCAGCTGCAATACATGTCTGTACATTTCTCAGCCTCGTTGGCAGCTTTGCCTTTCCAGAAACTCACCAATTTTCAGAACAAAGCTAGTTCATCCAGTACAGAAAAATTACCAAAATATTTATCATAATGTCAGCTGATAGATTATTTAATTACTAGACAATTAATGGTAGGGTAACCAAATGATATATAAACTGAAAATTCGTTATTTGTACCGGTAAGTAGAGCTTCTTGATTTAAAAGGGCGATGATCACAGTTTTGACAATTCTGTTGAATTTTGAAAGTTTCCAGAGAGAAAGAAGTTTTCAATTTGAAGCTTGTAACCATTTCTGAGTTTTAAGGTCAGTATAAAACTATAATTCAGAGGAAGATTACAAAATCTTTGTTTTAATTTTGCTACCCATTTGATGTAACAGGTTTGTTGTCAAACTGTCACAAAACAAGGCTTCTTTTGTCTCTTCGTTAGTGGAAAGAGGTGGAGAATTATGAAAATGAAATTTGAAGAAGAAAAAGACACACAAACTGAAATGAAATTGAAACACCACATGTTGCAGAGACACCATAAAAACCACATGTCATCTATAGATATTACATGTTAGAAAGAAGTCCCCCAAAAATTGCACTTCTCCACCAAAGTTTATCAATAAGTGAGAAAATGGCAGTTTTTATTTAAAGTTTTTTGCTATATACCATGCAATTCTCACTTCTCACTCAAGCTTAAAAGTTATTAGAAGCATTTTTCTACCAAATTACTAAAAAACGGCCTGGAAAGTTATATGTTTAAAATAGAGGTGTGAATGAATAAGATTTTGGGGGCAAAGGGGATATCTGACAAAAACCCTGTTCATCATAGAAAGTGAACAGTACTTGTATACAAATCTGATTGTTGGTGCCCCACCCCCCTAGAAAAACTAGGATGTAAATGACGCATCCTCTGGTCAAGTATCCCCCTCTCAATAATTTATATTCCCTAGGCCAAAGAGACGCACCTTCTCATTGAGACATTCTACCAAGTCTCTGACATACCCCCTCATCTCTTGAAAGAATCTGTACTGCATCTCCATCTCGCCAAATGATCTTTTCAACTTCTCCGAGCCATCCACGGACGTTGATAAACTGTCCTGTATCACATCCATCTCACGCTGGTGAGCTCGGTGAACTTCATCCAGGCTGTTCAGCCTACAGATTGGTTTTGTAAATGAAAAGGAAGTGTTTCGTCTTGAGATCCGCTGAAACGAATTTCCCTAACATATATAGCAGCCACAAAAGGCAAACTTTTCAATGCATGTGACACTACAGGGTTACACACAAAATAACGGAATTGAATTGAAATTTAAGAAATGGAAGATGTGCAATAGTTTGTAGGAATCAATTCAATCAGGGTCATGTAAATGTCAGTGGTTCAAATGATCTTGCAAATCTTTGCAAGTCGATACCAACTTTTACATATCCAGTGGCATTCTGCAATCTATATTAGATTAGAAGTAGCCAGGCTTAATTTGTAATGACAGTGATATGCAAATGTCTCTTATACACACTGCTGAGGCACAGTTTTCAAAATATTGGAAATTCAATAAAGTACAACGTAACTTAATTTGTCAAAAACGACTTAGATCAAATTTATCCGAAATGACAAATGCATTAGCACTACTAACAAGATTATTGACCTATGTTTTGTTGTTCGCAGTTATTTACACACAAACCTTAACAACCTCAAACCCCAGCCTCCCAGCCAATGTAACATTTTACATATACATACATGTAGCCAAGATACATGCGTAACAAGTTGTTGGTTGGCCGCATCTAGAAATACCCTGGTACAAACTTCTGACTAGTTGCATCATGAAATATCTATCAAGCATTGCAACAAAAATTAGGTATTCGATTTTTTTAAACCTCTGGGTCACATCTGATGATGGACAGGGCCATGTCTGAGACACACAGCCCTATTTCAGTCAAGCTCTCACTGACTGAACTCTAGCATTTGCCCAGACATGTAATCTGGGTGTAATCAGAGAGAATAATCAGGATGATACACCCTGAGTAAGCTGAACATAGATAAGCATATCTACCTGTCCTTCAGTTGTTTTTTAACCTGATCTAAAGTAACAGAAGGTAAATCTTTGGGAGGCATTTTGGTAAGAAGTGAGGATGCGTTTTGTGTTGGACTGGCTGCTGCACTGTTATCACTGGCAATGCTGAATGGATCGATGCTCATCAGTGGTGGTGGTAAACCTAGGGGGTTCACAAAGCCACTCTGTGCTAGATAGTTCTGATAATTCAGACTTGTTTGTTCTTCGGTAGCATTTTGAATCTGTCAACAAGAGAAGAAATTGTATAAGCAGTGTTTATTTGCAAAACAGAATTCTCTGTTCAATGTCACGATAATGAACCAGTATTTTTTTCTAAAGTTGGTATATGTACAACTATTTTTATTCTCCGTTTTTGACTTGTGGAAAAAGATGGCCAGTTACTCACCTGTGGTACACTAGTTCCTTTCTTGATCTGTTCCTGTTCCCATCGCTTTAGTTCTTCATCATGTTCCTTTTCACCATCATCACTATCAACTAAGTACAATTGTTAATGAATTAGTGCTTTGGAATTACACCAGAACATGCACTGTGATTTACTTAAACATACTTCGGTGTAATCGTATTAAACAATTTACAGATTTGTATCATCTCAGTCACCTTCCAAGAATCTTGCAGAATAAATCAAAGATGGAATAATCATATACCTTGTTCAATTGCTTCAATAACTCGCTGTCTTTGTGTCATCGCAGGTTTGACAGTAAAACATATCCGCTCCTCGTCACTTTCATCTTCGTTATCACTTCTATCGTTATCATCCTCTCTCACTAGTCTTGATGGATTGCTTTCAAACTTCTGAGTGTCATCCACTGGTATGAAATCTCCCATTTCTCTAGCTTGCTGTCGACGCTTCCTTGCTGCATGGATCATAGCAGCATCAGGGATTGCTCCTGAAAACGACATCCAAATATAATTCAGGCATGCAATAAAATCAGTATTGCCCGCAGGATACGAACAGCATGGCAGTACCGTCACGCTGGACTAACACCATCAAATTGACTGGTATTTTACTGCTTGCAATGACTATGTACATTTTTTTTTGCAACAGTGCTTCAAATTTCTGAAGAATACTGACAATACAAACCGAACATCATGAAAAGCTAGTAGTACTTCCGAGTCTGAGCACAGAAAATAGCCACAACCACCATCTTACCAAGTACATCAGGGGTTTTTCGCCCTGATACTCTTTACCGAATTGCTGATTGAACTTTCAAGTCATAAATATATTTGTTGAGCCTCGCACTTCCGTACAACATGAAATCTTTCTTGAATATATTTTTCTCTGTGAAAACATCCCAGCAACACCAGCTGACAATGTGTCTGGATACCAAATACACTAAAATTACTCCACAAATATTTCAATGGTGATAGATACACCGTTAAAATGGCGCAGAAACTTTCTGATATGGAGTTTCCAGGTCGATCCACCAGGTCGCTCCACTTCCTCGTCTGTGTGTGCTTCCTCTTGTTCATTTTTTCTAGAAAAACCCCTGTATGTGTACATGTATGCTAATTGTAAACCTTGTGTGAGCCACACATTACTATCTGTTTTTTTGACATTACCTATGCCTCAAGGCAAATCCAAATGTGATGCAGAGTTTGCATTTTAGCTTGATGTTAATTAACTATCCTCATCAATAGGATAAGACAAAAAATTTTAACTGAAAAAACAGGAAGCTTTCAGCGCCATCAAACATTCACAAATCATATATACAATGTCTTTACAGTAATTTTTTTTCAAAATAATTGAAATTGAGAGAAGCTTTCAGAAAATGTATACTATAAATAAACCATTTTTTTCTTTATTATTAAAATGAGAACATATATGTGTAACTATACATTGTATGGTTAATTTACCTGGTCTTAGATTACTGAAAGGACTTTTGAGATCATCTTCACCTTCTTGAACTTCATCTTCTTCACCAGGCATTATGACAGGACTACTGACTTTATTTCCATTTAAAACACCACCACCAGCAACATGCTCCGTTTTTGCAGTTGTACGCACACTTGCGTTAGCTGGTGCACTTGTTTTGGCTGTTTCTGGTTTCTCATCTAGGCTGCTAGGTTTGTTTTTTCTTTCTTTGAATTTTTTAACATGTTTCTTGCTATGTATTGTTCTTTTTACTTGGAAAACTTCTCCTTCACCTACAAAAACAATTATACATTGTGCTAATTGCGAGACGATGATAAAAACTTAGGGCAAATGTGCATTTTTGGTATTACCAATTTAAATTATGCGAATAAGTTAGAGTTCTTTGAGGTTATTTTTGCTAGTATTTTTGCTTATTCACAAAGTGTTTATTATGCACATTTCATGTTTTTGAATACATCGATAATCTCGCTCAGCAGGTCAAAACGTAATCAAAACTTTCTTCAAGTGTCCACAGATTGATTAACGTGTTCATGGAACTTGCGCAAGATGATACTAATGTTGGATCTTTAATGCATATTATCAAAAATATCAAAGTTGCATACCTCAGTCAGATAAATTTTCGTTAAAATATATAATAATATATATATTTTATTTGAGTCAAATAAAATATACTACTATACTATAATACCTCAATATGCTTTGCATTCTAAGATTGACGACACTACATCGTCACATAACAAAATTTGTGGCACACATCTCTCATATTAAAAGGAGGGCACAAAAGATAGCCACATAAGATCATAATCTAGGAAATCTTAAGTGACCATTTTTTAGTTCTTGCATATAGTACTGAACACACTGCATTTCAGTCAGTCAGTCCATGAAGCTTTTTTTAGCTCCATGGTCAGTCAATGACTGGTTATGTGATTCTATGAATAATTCAAAGATATGTGTGGGAAAATTTGTAAATATGGTAGGTATATGTGAAGAATAAAAAATATATATATTTAGTATTATAGACCGTGTTGGTAAGATATATTAATTCACATTTATTCAAGTATGACGACTATAGTAACAGGGAAAGAACCAACGGATAAAATACGAATCAAAATGATTCCGTGTTCAGGTGAATACACGAATTGAAATTTGACGTTGGGGGGACGTCGTGCCTTGCAGGTTTGGATTGTACTTTATAACAGTTAATGTGTTTGAGCACATCGACTACAACTACTTTACCTTCTTCATCGTCGAAACTCAGCAAATTACTTGATGACGACTTAGAAATCATCCCACTGCCTCCACCCATCAACGACTTTTCGTCCTTCTTCTTTTTCACTTTCTCGATTGCAGAATATGCATGTGTTGCCGGCTTTACATCGTCGATAAACGGTATTCGGTTGTCGTTTTTGCTTTCCTCTTCGTCACTACTCCCACCTCTCTTTCTGAGGTTCACGTTTTTCCTCTTTTTAAACATTATCTATTAACGGTAATCATGCAGCTCCTGAATAGGAAAAACTATACACAGTAAATTTAGCCTACCGCAAAAAACACGACCAAATCCTAAGTCGCGGTTTACGAAGTCTCGATGTTCACGAGAGCTCGGGTACATAACAAGCTATTTCTAGCTTGTATTTACGAAATATATAATTTGCATTTAATAATAAATCATAATGATTTAAAATCGTTGAAATATTATAAAATTATTTTATAAAAACTAAATCATATAAAGTAGGCTACATTGGTTACATATCTTATATATTTGAATCAGCGTCTACTAATGCATTACTATAAATAGTAGCTGCTGAGTAAAAATCACCTGACCATAATATAAGCTCAGGGCTGAATGAATCATTGTAGAACTTGGGATCGGTCTTTCGTTTAGTGTTTTGTAAGACACATTTGCGTTTCTGTGAGCATCGCTACCGTTATTTGAAGCAATTATGGCTATGTGTGGTGGAATGAAACAGGTGGAACAGGCAACCCCGGAGGTTCAACAATTAATCGAAACAGTGAGTTGTTTTAATTTATTTCATGTTCAATCATTTTGAGTCTAACTTCTCAACAATTCATTTGAGCAATGAAGAACTGTTCCCGTCGTTCAAGGTCATGACAAGTTGCATTGTCCATGTTATACTCGCCACACCTAGTGCTAGCTATTATTAACCATGGAATTGCTGCTAGGATCCTATAAAGTCATGGTTTAATATTAAACATAGGACAATTTGGACAAAATACTTACATGTGTAGCTGTGGTTTTGCATCGTTGTTGAATCTGTCAGTATATTACACTGCAGCGTCGGTGACAGACGAATCCCAGGACACACACTGACCCCAAATGACGCGAAACTATAGCTAATATATATTATGAGCGATCTGTTGTTTGTAATATTGCAAATCAAAAGTCTAATGTATGTACATGCACAGTCCTCTATAAACTGACTGTGGTACATGTAATAATATTTCAAGCAAAATAAAAAACAACCGTCATTTTAAGTCATTATGTGTAACAGTGTATATATTATTTGATTATTGATGGTTTGTGCTATCACGTGTGCGCCAGCTGACTGTGCTATAGACGAACTGTGGTACATGTAATAGTATTTCAAGCAAAATAAAAAACAACAGTCATTTTAAGTCATTATGTGTAACAGTGTATATATTATTCTTTTCTATAGTCTTTGATTTATTGTACTTGCATTGTACAGCTCCAGTAAACAAAGTGTGGCTTGCATAAAATGGCGCCCTCTATGATCATCATGTTTTACAATACTGTGGAATACTTTATTTTCGCTGGAATTAATTTTCGCTGAAAAGGCTTTTTGGGCATTTTGTATGGAATTTATTTTCACTGATTTTTGATGAGTTTAATGTAAAATATAGGAAAAAATGTATATTCGCTGGATTTTATTTTCACGGAATCATCCCTTCAGCGAAAATAGCGAAAATAAAGTATTCTACAGTAACTCCACTGGGATAAAACAATGCACTTCAGCTACCAATGCTACAAGCCAGTTGGTAATGATTATGAGTAATTTATAGTTAACATTGAAGATTTAATGGTCACACGATTAAATTTTTGGGACGGAAATTACACTAAAAAATCCAAGCTAAATACCTTTATACTGAATATTTACAAAAACTTCAGTGCAAATTTCTAAAAATGTAATGAGTTTGATATCGGTGGACATGTCTGTACATTATTGTTGAGCTCTTAAACTGTCAAGATCATGTTTAATTCTCTACTGTTTTATTTCTAGTATTTTCATCCAAAGCCATTAAAGTCTTAAATTGGTAAACTGAAATATACTGTCAATATATTGGCAACTTTCAATAATTCTATGAATGATTGCATAACTCATTTTTTTTGGTACTGTTTAGTGGATCAGCACTGGAAACATGAACATCTAAGTGGTAAATATTATTATATTATTATATATTTTTTAATTGCTTTTAGGTTAAAGTCAAAGTTGAGGAGAAGGCAGGAAAGAAGTTAGAGGTGTATGAAGCCAAACTATTTGCAACACAATTAGTAAATGGTATCAATTATTTTGTTAAGGTATGGAATTTTTTATGAATTGTATGTTGAGCAGAGTGGAGATAACACACAACACCTGACAGTCAGACCAATCAGAGAGCACCTTGTTTTTAGACTGGTTTACTTAATTCTGTCTTTCATACATGCTTTGAATGCACCATACATCCAATCACTGACTGTATATAGGTTGAAATTATACGCTGATTTGGCATATGTGCCATTTTCTTGAAGAAAGTAGAGTGAAATATGAATTTAGTTATGATGGGATACTCAAATGATGACATTTTTACTATGTACCGTAACTGGATATCTGTTTCTGGTTGCCCATCTGTTCGATTGTCAAGACACAAACCTTCTGGAGTAACTTGATGTTTTGAAATCTCATAAAATATTATTTGGAAGAATCATGCATACATAAATAAATGAGTGTTTGGTTTTATTATTCCAGGTGCACATTGGAAATGGTGAATATATCCATGTCAGAGCACACAAAGCCTTCAACCAGGAGAAAACCGTCTCATTCCATAGCATTCAAGATAAAAAACAAGAAGCTGATGAATTGGCATACTTTTAACATTATTGTCACACTCTGTAAAATACATCTATATGAATCCCTTTTTTTTCAGTCCCTTCGTAATCTTGCTCCATCTATGAACTGAATAAACCTGTAAACAGAACAGAGTCCTTTTGATGAATACTGGCATTTTGAGATCAATACCTTAACAATTGGCAATGGTTGTCATCTGTGTATGGCGATGCAACTTGTATGGCAATCTAACGTGAATGTTGTTTCAAGCATCATTTTTGGAAAGAGATATCATCTATGACATTGTCAACTTATTCCAACCAATCAAAACCTACGTTTCATTCTGCATACAATAAATAATTTACTTGTCCTATCCTCAGATTGGAGCTCTGAAGATGTGAAATCCATGCATGAAGTTAGAGGCAGTTTTCAAATTCAGGGAAAAAAACAAGTGCTGATATTTTACTTTGAAATAGCACAAGAATTTTTCTGCAGTTAATTCATACCATTGAGGGCGCCATTGTATTTCATTGAATAAAATGCATTTGTACCTGTTACATGCAAATTGGAATTTTTCTGTCTTCCAGCTTTTTATTGATAGAGCAAGTTATTTCTACCATACTTTTGTATACTCCTTTGTAGTTAATAAATAACATTCTTTAACATTAAGCAAGTTTTATTTTCTGTAAAGGAATGCTACAGTGTAAGATTACAAAATTGTTTTCATAACATATATTGGGTACACATGGAAACTTTGTGATACAGATATTCATCTTTCTGGTGAATTGAAGCTAATATCACCCATATTATCCTCATTTTTATTGAGAATTGAACTTAAATTGTGGATTGGAGCAAAATACCCCTGATAACCAAAAGGCTATGCACTTTCCAAAGTCTGTAAAACAACTTGCGTAATGCCCAGGCATGATAGCCAATAAACAGGATTGACCATTGTAGCTAGCCAACAGCCTGACTAATTTGTATGAATTTGCAAAGCTAATATTTGCTAAACTGACCACTGGAGTATTGTGTTGCAGTGCAGTGCAGACCTCAGAAGGTCTGTAGATTCTGCTTACCGGTAACCTTTTCACCACCAGACTTTCTCGTTCAAACTTTTTTCTTATATTCTACAATATTTCTGGAAATGGACCCTAATTTTGGAGCCAACAAAACAACTTCGAGTCCATTTTCAGTTTTTGTCCCAATCTTCTGAAGGAAAGTGTAGACTATAAATGGGACTATTTTGTGAATTTTAACCTACCCATTAATGCATCACAACTATTTGTTTGAGTTTCCATGGAAATACATAATGTGAAACGTTTTCTACTATCTTTGTACCACACAAAAATATAGCTCAGATAATCCACCCATGCAATCCATTTCTGTCTTGCTTTGGTCAGGAATGAAAGTCAAAATCAAGTCACAACATTATGGGTGCTTTCTCGTTAATAACACCTGACAACTAGATCAGAATCTGTTTTGCATCAGATTTAAGCATTTATCATTGCTTCACATCTGCCTCCCATTCGTCAAGTTCTTTCCTTATTTGTTCCACGAGATCAATCGGTTGTTCATATTTTTTCGCAAAGTCCTCAGTTCTCCAGTCTGCTTGCCATTCTTCTGCTGCTTTAATGTCTTTTGGCCTGAGAGTAACTTTAGAAAAGTCAATACCATTGATGTGTAGCCTCTCCCATCGTTTACTCCATGGTCTTGGCTTCATTCGCACCTGTGGAGCAACACAAATTTTATTAAGCATCCGAATGTAAGCTTTGATGAAATAAAATGAATGTGGAGTAGTTTCCTTTCAATGTCATAAGCAGTTGCAATGCCCAGTGTCTATGATGATCAGGTACAATGAGACATTAAATTTATTCAAGGTTTTGAGTGGGTGGCCAACACACCAACTTGATATGCCACGCACCAGCTTTCCAGAGCACCATGGAAACAATAAACATAATCGATGAAGACAGATGGAATTCTATTAAAAGAGCAAAAATAAGTTTTGCGGTCTCAAAAGAATTTGGCGACTATTTGTGTCAGAGGTTTATTAATTGTTGAGAGATGCACATACACATGAAGCCAGTCAGCTTACTGAAGATGGAATTCAATATTTAAATATGAAATTATGCCAAGTGCAAATTTTTTTTATTCAACCGTAACTAATCTATTTCCTATTTGTATGGGAAGCAGACTAATTCTCAGCCACGCCTCCATTCATGCACAATTTATTCTGTTCAAGTTGCTCAAGCACGATATCATTAACCATACCTTTGTATCATTAACTGGGACTGGGTCATTGGCCCCACGTTTTACTGTTGGCATATCGTGGTCAAATGTACTATACTGGGGTAGGGCATCCCTCAAATACAGCAAATGAGCATCTCGGCGTTTTTCCAACCGTATGACGTCTATCTCCAATAGTAAAGGGTTATAAAGCTCGTAGCATATTTCTATACCTAAAAAAAA